TTACTATATCAATACATAAAGTATATTCTTTTATTATTTTATTAAATTCTATTTTAATGCATTTTAGTGGATTTTATGACTGTCAGTTCAGATTCCCCTGGTATTTAGACATTCTAAAGATTTGTTCTCTAGGGGTTAATTAGGCTGTCTATTGCAAGCTGAAAATATGACATTTCTTTATGAAATAAAAAACAGGTGATTAGTAAGCTATAAAACAGTAGACAAAATCTGTTCCTGTCATCCACTTGGAAAATATGTTGGATTATGCAATTATACAGCCCAAAATCTACAGCTCCTAATTAGGATATGTGCAACAGTGTCATTCACTCATTCAAATTCATAATAATGCTTTGTTAGCCAAAATGGGGGCACTTTGGAATTTGCAATAGAAAAAGTATCCCCCACCAGTGGGGTCCCTCTAGTGGCATAGTTCTCGGGTTTGAATGAGAGAATTTTGGCTTCAATTTAGTGAAATTGTTTATTGTCTTAAAATTCTCTGTGAAATTAGTCATTTTTCCCCACTCACTGCGGGACGACCGACACTTGGCCTTGTGAAGCGGTAAATCTCAAGTGTAAAAATATGGCAATAGTGTTTCCGATGACCTCATTTTCAACCAATTAAAAAACGAGTTTTCAAACCCGTACAATATATAAACAAACTTGGCTTCTTGCTATCAAGTCAAGCAACTCGTTCGATGATTGCCCTAGAAACCCTGCGCGGTGTATTGTGGTATCATGGCTATATAAGGGCCCATGCTGTCGGTCGCCGAAGTCACAATTTGCCATATAAAAATATGAAAGTGGCGATTCAAATTTGATTTTTGACGATAATGTTTTTGGGGTACTTCCGATTGAGTTGTAGCCTACTAATCAAGTGTCATGGATTAATGATAAGTTGATTGATAATTGCCATTGATATATATTAAGCCTTTCTCAAGTCAAAGATCAACATTTTCTGCTTAGGGAAAGCTGAGATAAGCAATTCGATTGGTTGATACTTTGGGACACAATAACTTTGGTTCTAATTAAGTGAGAGTGATGAAACTTGGTGTATAGTTTCATCACATAAATACCTTGACTAAGTTTGATTATGAGAGCATGTTGAACTCCGGGTCAGCAAAGCGATAAGCAATTTGATTGGTCCAGACTTTGGAGTGATAGTGGTGAAACTTTGTGTATAGTTTTATTACATCTATACCTTAACAAGTTTCGATGCTGAACACTTTCTGCTTAGGCAATTAGAGAGTTCAGTCTGATTGGTCGAGACTTTGGAACACAATAACTTCTAATTGAGATATAATGTTCAAAATTTGTGTAGGTGTCTATTACTGAATGCCTTGACATAGTTCGTTCATGTGCATTTCCTACTAAGGCTAAGCAGAGATAAGCAATTTGATTGGTTGAGACTTTGGAACATGATAACTTTGGTTCTAATTGGGTGAGAGTGATGAAAATCATGAGTATAGATTCATTATATCAATACATTGACTAAGTTCAATGATGAGAATTTTATGCTTAGGCTAAGTAGCAATAAGCAATTTGATTGGTCAAGACTTTGGAACATAACAATTCTGCTTTTAATTGAGGTATAGATGTTCATTATGCAAATGTCTTGACTGAGTTCAATGATTAATATTTCCCATTAAAGCTAAGCAGAGCTAAGCAATTTTTGGGTTCGATGCTCTGGGACAAGATAACTTTGATTCTAACTGATGGAGAGTGATGTAACTTAGTGTATAGTTTCACTCACTACCAGGTACTTCAAAACCAGAGTTTGATAGTGAACATTTTATGCTTAGACTAAGCATAGTTAATCAGTTTGATTACTCGATACTTTTGAAAAAGTAAATGTGCAATTAATTAATATGTGTTATCTGGGGTTTTTTTTGCAGGTTGGGGGGGGGGGGATTTCGGCGGAGGACATCAGCCTCACTGTTGGCTTGTTTTTTCTAGTTATGGCCCTTATTTCACTTTCTTGAATCTTAACAAAAGTTATCATCAGATCTGTAAGAAATTTATATCTGTCATTGAAATCAGTGAAAAGATGAAGCCTATTGAATTTCAACAATTTCCGTCAATTACATCTACAGTTACATCTATGGCTCTTCTTTCTGAATTTTCGAATGACAAAGTTATCTTCTGATCTGTATGAAATTTATGTGCATTATTAAATTAGTAAAACAAAAAAGCCTGATAAATTTCAACAATTTCTGTAAAGAGTTCAGGCCTTTGTTTCATTTTGTAGAACCTTGTGAACCCTCAAATTACGAAAATTATAATCTGATCCGTATGAAATTGTCTTGTAAATGACCTCCATTACCTATTAAAGAAATCATATACAACAACCCTTGTCAACCGCTCAGACGATTTAGCTACTGTCGGGGTATTTTTCATTGCCTGGTAACCTATCTGAGATTTGAGTGAAAACAATCAGTCTTTGTTTATTTGAATGTTTGTTAAAAATTAAAATTATATTGTATAACTAGTCTTGGGTCTGCATACAAAGGGGGATAATTCACTTCACCCCTCTCTTTCCTTCAGCCAACATACCATATTTGTGAGATCTTCCCTTTTATGAAAACATCACACAGGGATACTAGAACATAGTACATGTACCGGTATAGAAATTACTGAATCATCATGTGGGTAGAAATATTAACACTGTCCCAAAAGAATTGTAACTTTATATTTAATGAGCTATTTGGTATAAAATAAATGTTGATGGCTGTTTCCTGACATTACAAGAAACAGAGGGATAACTTTCTACAAGATACAATCCAGTATGACACTTTCATATATTTAAAAAAGTCCCAGCAACAAAAATAGACCAGACTATTAAACAAAAAACAAGATTATGTTCTTGCCTTTTATCAAGTTAATTATTGATAATACCAGTACATAATAGATCTATAGAAAAATGGTGTAAAATAAGCTCATAAAAATATGTTATTTCTTGAAGACCTATTGACATTATATATCCTTTTGTAATACCTTATTGCCGCTGTATTTCCAACAGAATGCCTTTGTCAATTTTTTTTCAACTTTTCCTGACAAACGTAAAAAATAAGCTTAAATTGAATAAATCAATCAGTTTGTTCTTTTGATATGTTACAGGTGGTGTTACAGATATTTATGTGATTTTATCATGTGAAATTGAAAATGCATTAAATACACCTGGGCCCTGTTTCACAAAAACTTAAATCTCCTTAAAATCGTCTTAAAACTAAAATTACATCCTAACTTAAGATAGACGCGTTTCACAAAACGATTTTAAGCATATTAGGTAAAATCCACTAAAATAATATTGTAAGTTAAAATTGTATCTTAACTTACAATAGTGGCGTTTGAAAAAACTATTTTAGGGACAATTTTAACTAAAATCTATTGTAACTTAGGACTGCCGTCACCCTATCCTAACTTAAAATCACGACATTAACAAACATTAATTAGAGCTACATTGTGAGATCTATTGCGACATATAGATATATCATGGAATAATGATAATATTGCTAATGGCCTGGGTTATATAATTTAAACATACTATCATTCACAAAAATAATTTTCATTCAATTTCTTTTCATTGCATGTGAAATATAAGCAATTAGATGACGCCCCAAATTAAAACCCCAAGAACAAAAAATCAATCAAAACCCCAGTAAACAAAACTCTTTGTTACTATTTTATATATTACCATATGATTCAAGTATAAATTATGCTATTTTCAAATAATTAATAGACCAAAAAAAAAACCTTAAAAAAAATTTAAAGCCACTTCATATCTAATGTCTATAAAAAGTATCTTTGTAGGCCTACAATTGTTTAAAATGAGAGAGAGAGAGAGAGTGGGGGAGAGAGAGATGTGGTTTAACGTCCGCAGACATACACTAGGTCATTTTGGGACTAACACATTGTTCAATTTTATTTGAATAATTCGCTTGCGCGTTGGGGTCTTTAGGAGTGTTAGGAACCGGAGAAAACCCACGAGGTTGGACGGGCGACCCTACTCCCTGTCACGTACTACAGGGGAATCGAAACCCTGTTAGTCCTGTAATACTAGATACGCCATATGTAAAGTATTAATTATGATTTTGGGGTTATGATGATTTAAATAGGAGCCAAGGGTATCTTATATTGTGAAAAAAGTCATTTTAATTTAATAAGATAGATAGGTATTATCCAATAAGGAGTGTGGCACTTTGACATTTTCAAATTATTATTTAAAGGGTCCATGGGACTGACATCGGAACATTGGTTATTTCGTGTATTAGTTTAAAAGTTATTAAATACTTTTAAAATTCAACAATACTTTAGTCTAGATTAATCGTTTGAGTCAGAAATATTACATGTTTGTGACAATTTCTCAATAGTTTCTGTTATCCAAAATACAACAAAACTACGAAATTCAAGCCATTTAGTTTATTGATACGCATTATTTCCATTGAAGCCTGCGAGTAAATCCAATGCCAAGGTCACGAAAGCGACATGCAAGTTCAACTAGTTCAAGGCCAACCAACTAATACAATTCAAAACAAATAACACGCAATAAACTTATTTATTTCATCTCTCTACGACTGTCTGGCCATGTGCAGGCATTGTTACAACGTATGAAACTCTCCTCATTGGTATTGTAACGGTTAGTTCAACCTGGCAACAGTTTTCAGTTTCGAAGCGTGTATGCTTACACCCTAAAGTGCCCTCGCTGGAATTGTGCACTGCGCGAGCGCAAGCAATTTTAACTAAAATCTATTAAAATTGCATTTTAAGTTCAAATCGATTTTAGTGATTTTAGTTTTAGTTTTTGTGAAACAGGGCCCTGGTCTATGGATGGGTTCAAATGTTGCTTTACAGCCAGCGATTAGTACCCATACATATATAGATATGATTAGCATGTTGATATTTCTAAATGGGAAAGATACAGGAGTGACAGTCACAATTTACAATCTTAACTTAACAGTGTTTTATAATTTATGTTTATACATGTGTATCCTTGTATTTTTCAGGGAACCACGTAAAATAACATTAAAAAAGGGTTCAACAGGTTTAGGGTTTAATATTGTTGGTGGAGAAGATGGTGAGGGTATTTTTGTGTCTTTTATACTTGCTGGTGGGCCGGCTGATCTCAGTGGTGAATTACGGAGAGGTGATCAAATAATATCAGTAAGTTCTTTTATTTTTTTGCATCAGTTTTATTTGATATAAAGACGATTATAGTGACGTAATGAACCTATCAAGTTTATGAAATTAGAAACAGCAACAACTAGGTGAAGGGGGAATCGGAAGGTGAACACATAGCTCCCACCAGGCCAATATTATTCCAAAAACATGACGACCGGTATTGAAGAAGTAAATTTCAATAAAATATTTTTTTCAAATACGTCACAGAGTAACAGATTTGCTCACACAGGTGTGTGTTACTATATAATGCCTATTTTCAATTTCCATTGATTAAAATATTGTACATTACATGTACATTACCCAAGCTGGAATAAAATGGACTTGCTTGGCTCAGTAAATGCTTTGCCAATAACATGTCTCATTCTAAGCCGCTGAAGGGAATAACACGTCTAAGCCTCTGAAGGGTCCTGTTTCATGAGGCTGTGTAGATGTGAATATCATACAATATTCAAATTTTACGAAACCTCTGTGTTTCTCTAAACAGCGTATACATGTATGTACATTAGAGATGGAGAGAGAGAAATGGAGTTTTTGGACTAAAATACGGTTCAATTCCATTTCAATAATTCTCTTGCCTGTAGGGTTCTTTAGTGGGAGGAAACCAGAGGATCCAAAGAAAACCCATAAGTTTGGACAGGCTACTCTACTCCTTGTCACGTAAGAGCGGGGAATCGAAACCACTCCACATGATTCAGTGACAGACCTTGTGATCTAATCTACACGCATTGGCCAACCAACCCCCCTCTAAAGGCATGTGTATGTGTTGACAACAATCTGATTAAAACACAGATCCTATTTTGTTCGTTTTTTATAGTTCAAAATTTCGTTTTACTTGTCTTTACTACACTAGGATCTGGAAAAGTTGTTATATTACCGGCGTTTTGGTTGAAGTGAGGGTAAGCCAATGAAACCGGTTTGTCTGTTAAGATGACTTCTTGGTGTGCCATGCACGAAACTGTGGGTAAACCACTAGAAACGCAAACACTGATTGATTAATCAATGTCTGACGTCATGGGAGTCAAAAGCCGTTCGTACGACCCCTGAGTACAACTTGTCAGATCTTCATGTAGTGTAGGCCTTCGAAAGTATAAAAAACGAAACGAAATATAGATCTGTATTTTAATCAGATTGAATGTGTTGACAATGGTTGAACAATGATAAGGAATTTTTTCAGGTATCAGAAATTCTTTAGCATCATGTTAAATGTGCAAGTTCAAGAAATAAAAAAAACCGAATCCACCAATTTGATTAAATGATGTAATTACGTGATAATAAGAAAATCTTGACTAATTTGAGTTGTTGGCACTATCCTTAATACTAGACATACTTACTAGTCGTAATGAATTGTGTTGAGTTAAGTTATTAGTGTTGAAACTACTATTCGGATATCCGTTAACGGATACAAAATAAGGGTTATCCGAATCCTTTTACTATCCGTTACAGTCTTCTGACATTCCGTATGCTCTATACTTAGCCATTTTTACATCTGATTACTTTGAAATTTTCCCCAATGCTATTGATCACGTACGCAGCTTTGAGCATAAATGTTAATGTCATGCGTATTATTTAGCGATAGTAACTAATAAAAATATTAATGCAGTGCAACGAAAGCAGTAGTCTAATTATAGTCTAAATAAAAAAATATTCATTCATTCCTTGCGCTGGGTTACTCTAGATAGAAGCTTCTTCTTGGGAAAACGGGAAACAAGTTAACACTGTGTTTAGACTTCCCGCAATGAAATTTATTCATAACGACCTAGGTCACGTATATTCTCACTGACTGATTGGTTCAATAGCAGTAGATTATCAGAATGAGGCAAACGACCTTGGAATAAATGTCAGATGTTTTTATTTTACTTTTTTCATTTGTGTTGATTGAGCAAAAATGATAAGTGGGAGGGCCGCGGATTACAGGAGTAGTTGTACACAAATTTATTCACCTCATTGATTTTTATACGCCCACATAAAACTGTGGACGTATATTGCCGTCGCCCCCGTCCGTACGTCGGTCCGTCCGTCCATCGTCCTCAATTTCTTGTGAACACTCTATCGCCAAAAGTTATCATCCAATTGTTTTAAAATTGATATATGTTGTTTACATTAGTGAGATGAAGAAGCCTATTCAATTTCAATAATTTCTGTTTTTAACGTCTAGAGTTATGGCCCCTGTTTCACTTTGTTGAACCTTGTGAACACTCTAATGCCAAAAGTTATCACCCGATCTGTGTGAAATTTATATGTAATATTTAAATTAGGGAAACGAAGAATCCTATTGAATTTCAGCAATTTCCGTTTATTACTTCTAGAGTTATGGCTCTTGTTTCACTTTGTTTAACCTTGTGAACGCTCTAACCCCAAAAGTTATCATCCTGTCTTTCTGAAATTTATATGCATTATTTAAATAAGTGAAACGAAGAAGCCTATTTAATTTCATTAATTTCTGTTATAACGTCTAGAGTTATGGCCCTTGTTTCACTTTGTTGAACCTTGTGAACACTCTAATGCCAAAAGTTAACATCCGATCTTTGTGAAATTTATATGCAATATTTAAATTAGGGAAACGAAGACGCCTATTGAATTTCAGCAATTTTCGTTTATTACTTCTAGAGTTATGGCCCTTGTTTCACTTTGTTTAACCTTGTGAACACTCTAACCCCAAAAGTTATCCTATCTTTCTGAAATTTATATGCATTATTTAAATTAGTGAAATGAAGAAGCCTATTGAATTTCAGCAATTTCTGTGTATTAATACTATTATGTCTAGAGTTATGGCCCTTATTTCACTTTATTGATCCTTGTGAACGCTCTAACGCCAAAAGTTATCATCCGATCTTTCGGAAATTTATATGCATTATTTAAATAAGTGAAAAGAAGAAGCTTAGTGAATTTCAGCAATTTCTGTTTATTACGTCTGGAGTTATTGCCCTTGTTTGACTTTGTTCAACCTTGTTAATGCTGGATTGATGAAAGTTATCATTCGATATGTATGAAATTTATATGCATCATTTAAATTTGTGAAACGAAAAAGCCTGTCAAATTTCAACAATTTCTGTAAATTACTTCCAGAGTTGAGACCCTTGTTTCAATTTGTAGAACCTTGTGAACCCTCAAACAGCAAAAATTATAATCTGATCTGTATGGAACTGTCTCGAAAGGCCCCCAATTACCTACAAAGGAATAAATATGCAACAACCCTTGTCGACCGCTCGGACGATTTAGCCGCTGTGGGCGTATGTTTCGTTGCCTGGCAACCTATCTTTTTGGATATCATCGAAAGTAAGATTTCATACTCGGCATACACAGACACTCATAAACATTGAAATAAGTAAGAAATTATGAGTATATGAACTTTTGATGTGATTTTGTTCAAGAAATTCACGTTTCCAAATTATCCGAATAGTATTCGGATAGCAAACAAAAGTATTCAGATCAGAAATCTCGATCCGATTTTCAACACTATAAGTTAAAATTGTAGAATTACTTGCAATGGTAACCATACATTACAAATATAAGAAAAACTAATAGATCTACAAATATGTATTAGTCAATATGAATCAAGCGGTGGACTAGAATCCATATATAACCACCCAATTAATGCTGTTTGGAGAAAACTGAGCCCTGTTAATGTAAAAGTAAGCTAATTGTGCAATAAACATGCACAGCCAGCACAGAAAGACATAATCATTCAAACCTTTCAATGAGGAATTGATTACCTGTAACTCTGGATGTGAATGAATAATACAGATTGTTCACAATAATTTTTCAAGGACTTTCCCTCATTCAAGAACTTTAAGTGGCATAAATTGGGGAAATGTTATGATATATAAATGATGATTTAACAGGGGCGGATCCAGGAATTTTTGCAGGAAGGGGTTTGCCAAGTTCATGAGACAATGTATCTCTCCCCCCCCCCCCACATGGTCTCTATCGTTATTTTGGCGTATATACATACACATTGAGCTTTTTATTATGAGTTAATACAATGACATTGTGATTCAATTTCATGGAAGCAAAGCATTAATTGTGATATCACATAATGTCTATGTCTTTATCTCGTGCTTTGAGTGCCCATCCTGTCCCACATCTGACGATAAAGGATAAAGCTCACGGCCGAGAAACTTTTCTCATAAAAAGTGTTGATTTACAAAAAAAATTTATGCAGCTGAGCAGGGGGGGTGGGTCAACCGCCCAAATCCCCCTCTGGTTCCGCCCCTGTTTAGATTGATACTTGGATATTAAAAGGAAAAATTTTATATACAAGTTATTTTCAGTTGAGTACTTATTCTCTCCCTTTGGTTTAAGCAAAGACACTACACCAGGGCTTTCATTTCAAAATTTTGCACGTCAGTAATTTTTGGACATATTTTGTTTATCAAGGATTAGCAAGATATTTTTTATACATCCACATTCATAATGTGGACGTATTATGCCGTCGCCCCTGTCTGTGTGTGTGGGTGTGTATGTCTGTGGGTCGCCTACAGGGCACAATTCTTACTGGATTTTCTTCAAACTTTGTATACTTATTCCTTATACCCTAAGGATGATCCCTATTGTTTTTGGTCCATGCCCGACCCCCCGGAGGCAGAGCCACACCCATTTCTTGTATTTGTTTGTTTGTCGTCTACAGGACACATTTCTGAACGTATCATCTTGAAACTTTGCATACTTATTCTTTGTACCCTAAGGAACATCCCTATCGTTTTGGGTGCATGCCCAACCCCCAGAGGCAGATCCACGCCCATTTTCTTTTTGTGTGTCTGTGTGTCGCCTACAGGCCACAATTCTTTAGTGATCATCTTGAAACATTACATACTTATTCCTTATACCCTAAGGAATATCCCTATTGTTTTTTGTGCCCAATGTTTGTGTGTCTTGTATTTCGCCTACAGACTGCAATTCTAAACAGATCCTTTTGAAACTTTGCATATCTATTCCTTATACCCTAAGGATGTCCCCTATTGTTTTTTGGTGATTGCTCAACC